GCTGCACACCTGCAAGGAATAGTTCACAACAATGGACTGGAGATTGTGGCTGTGTGTGGAAACTCAAATCTGTGCTATACACCTGTGTATTTCCATATATATGAGCAGGGAAATACTCTGGAAGTTATTTATTTGGGCTAATAAACTGCACATAGGATTATTAATTTGGTTGGCATTCAGGAACATGCCATGATTTTCTTGATCTCCTCTGCTTTTCAGTTAAGCACAGTTATTGCTGAATGCAATACAAATGATGGTTGTGTTTCAATGCTTTAAGGTCCATTCCAACCCAAAGCATTCTATGATTGTAGGATTTCTATAACAAAACAACAACAAAATATATATATAAGGCTTCATAGACCAGATGCAACAAAACGCCTAATTGTGCAGGCAGTTTTTAAACAAATTAATGGTTTTTAAATATATACTTTGCAGACCTCTGGAGTATAATGTTCAGCCAGTAAAGAATGAGATGAAAAACCCAGCTTTCCATTTTTAGTGCCACCATAAAGATGAGTGCAAGTATTTTTACGCACAAAATGTGAACATCATGACCATTTTGTGCCTTTTCTGCCCCATCATGTTCTTCTTTCAGACTCCTGAGGTCTTAGAGTGACCTTAGCCCTGTCATACTCCAAGAAGCTCTTCAGTTTGCTGCAGTGGAGCTAAGGTTTTAAATTCACATATTTGGTATGGCACATATTTGGTATGCCTTCAGGTACTGTGGAATGTAAAACTCTGAGGCAGAACATTGGAGGAAGTAAGTCCAGATGTTGTGAACTTACTGGTAGAAACTGGTCATTCCCTTCCTACATGTGCTTAAACTGATGAACTTCTTGAAAATGGGAAGAATTCCCAAGCACTTTCTCTCTAAATTGAAGGATAGGTTAAATGTGAAAGGAGCTTACTCTTTCCTCCCCATATCAAGAGTGTGCCTACACATTACAGAAGATGCCATCCAGGTTCATTTAATTAATGTTGTAATTAATTTAATTAATGTTGTTTCTGTGTGCTGAAGACACAGTCATTATGGTTTTGAGGTGGCTTTTTGGTTTTTTTGTTGTTTTTCATTTTCCTCTCTACTATTTGTTATTCTGTAAAATCTGCCATGCAGCTGAAATTAGCTATTATTGCTGTATTTTTGGGGTTTTTGCTGTTCTCCATTTCCCAGCAGCATTAAAAAAGTTGGAAATGCAGTGATCTTTGCACTATAGCCTAGGGGCAGAGTGGCTGGAAAGGTTCCTGGAGGTAAAGGACCTGGAGATGCTGGTCAGCAGTGGCTGAACATAATCCAGGTGTGCCCAGGGGGCCAAGGAGGCCAATGGCACCTGTCCTGTGTCACCAACAGTGTGGCAGCAGGACCAGGGCAGTGATTGTCCCCCAGTACTGGGCACTGGTGAGGCCACACCACGAGTGCAGTGTCCAGTTCTGGACCCTTCAATTCAGCAAGGACATTGAGGGGCTGGAGCGTGTCCAGAGAAGGGGAACTGGGTTGGGAAAGACATCTGAGATCATCGAGTCTAACCTGTGACCGCCATGTCAACTATAACATGGCACTGAGTGCCACGTCCAGTCATTCCTTAAATACCTACACAGAGAGTGACTCCCCCACCTCCCTGCACTGCCCATTCCGATGTGTCATCACACTTTCTGTTAAAAAAAAATTCTTCCCTCTCCTGGTGCAGCTTAAGACCATGTTCTTTCATCCTGTTGCTTGTTACCTGGTAGAAGAGACCAACCCTCATTTTGCTACACCCTCCTTTCAGGGTGTCATTTCTAGGATAGAAATGACAGCACCGAGCTCTGCTTTCCCCATGTGTCGTGCTCACTGCCAGAACTTCCGTGCCAGAACTTTGCAGTGGCTTAAGTGCTTTCTCAGAATTTCCCTCTGAGGTACTTGCCAGGAATATTAAAAACCAAATTATCCATTCATTTAGCAGCATAAAAAGTACACTGAGGTAGACAAAGTGATGAGTACTAACCCTGTTTCCTGACACACTTTCTTCAGGTGCTCTCTGGGGTAAGGTCAGTTTACAGAAGCAGAAGGTATGGGCTTATTTTCCAAAATGTCTCTTTTTAATACTCCACTAAACCATGTTTCTAAGTGCCAAATCTTGGTATCTTTTAGATGCCTGCAGGGATACTGACTCAGCCACTTCTGGGCAGCCTGTTCCAATGCTTTTGGCAACTCTTTCAGTGAAGAAATGTTTCCTCATAGCTATTTTAAACTTCCCCTGGCCCAGCCTGAGGTTATTTCCTCTCTCTCACCCTGTTGGTTATTACCTGTGAGAAGAGACACACCCCACCTGACTACAGCATCTTTTTAGGGAGTTAGAGAGGGTGATGAGCCTCCTTTTCTCCAAGCTTAATAGCCCTAGCTCCCTCAGCAATTCCTTATAGAATTTGTGTTCCAGAACTTGTGCTGTTTCAGGGCAGTAAACTGAAAAGTTTCAGGGCAGTAAACTGAAAAGTTTCAGGTTGTTTTAATGTGCTGTACTATTCTTGCCTATAGCTTACTTTATTTAAACTCAAAGTGGTAAATAATTATTTTATATTTATTTTTATAATTCTTTTCTTTAGTCCTGGGAAAGCAAGTGTTCATACCTCTTCTGCCTCTTCTTTGTCACATTCCTTCTTTTTCTCTGTTACAAAGGAATTAAAGCATGTGAAGTGTCTGTGCAGTGCCTGGCTTGGCACTGTGTTCTTGTGCCCTGATCTTGTCATCAGACCTGTAGAAGTGAACCTCTGCAATGGGAACAGAATTTTATTCTGTGAATGAAGAAATATTTTTTTTCCTGACCTAAACAGAATCATGTAAATGCATAGATTAATCTTAAAAATGAAAGTATTATTTCAAGGGTTTCGCTTGACATCTGCTGGAACAAAGTCCACACCTCTTTTTGGCAGGAACCTGCTATGCCCTGAACTGTGATAATTTTAGCATGTCCAACACAGAACAATGCTTTTTCCTTACATGGCTTGGTAGCTAGTTTTGAGTGTATGTGAAGCAGTTTGTTTTGTGGTTGGGAAAATGCAGATGAAATGGCAACACCTCTCCTGTGGCTCCCCAGGCCAAGCCTGTTGTGGTTATTAAGAAAACATTGATTGTTAGGAAAGAGATCTTGACTCACTTCTCATTTTGAGGTGGGAAATGAGCTGAAATGGGAGATGTCAAGCTCCATCAAGAGAGCCTTGTTTCATGGCAAAAGTAGTGAATAACTCTTTAAGGGCAGTTTTTCATAGAAAACTTTCAAAAGCACTTAATTGTTGTCTAAGGAAAGGCAAATGCATAAGAGCTCACATAATTCTAAGATTTACTAGTTTTAAATGCTGAAGTCACTGCATACTTAAATTTGGGCAATTGTTAGTGATAACACTGAGGTAACAGTTTTATAACCCTCAAATTGAGTAACTAGCTAAGAGTATTTTAATTTCTGGAAGAAAAATTGATGCTTGGAGAGGCACTCATTTACATATCAAGGTCTTCCTGAAGCCCTCAGGGATCACAGCTTGCTCTTTTTGCTATGCAGTCAGATTTCAAGTGCAAAAAAGTTTGATTTTATGTTCAGAAGTCTCTCACATGTCAGTTTTTAGGTATCAAAATTGATCCTCAACAATGAATTTTAAAAGTCCAGAGAAATCATTCTAAATTGTAAGACTTCATTGTGTACAAATCCCTCCATTTTAGAGGAGAAGTAGTTTGGAAATTCACTTTAGATCCCAGCCCAGACTGGTGGAGGGATTCCCAGTGATCCAGTGCTGGGGAAGTGATCCCATGAACCAGCTGCAGATAGATGGGCTGGGTTTTCTTGAGTTTGGTAGAATAAGAAATCAAGTTTCACCATTTCCTGGGCAGATATTTTGTTGTGTTTTTTTGGTTTTTTTTTTAATAAGAAATGGAATCTGTTGACAGATGTTGACAGAAATCAAACTCTTGGGTTTGATTTCTGCTGAACAGTTGTATGCTTTGCACATGAAATGAGTAGCTTATTGAGGTGCCTGAATTAAATAATTTTGTCTAATTTAAGCAGGTACAGACCATAGTCTCAGACGTCAACAAATGGTGATGAAATAACCCCAAATGCTGTAGCTGAAGATTCCATGTGAGAGGCTCCTGTGGCCCCTCAGTACCTGCCTGTTGCATACAAGGTTTTTAAAAGGCTGTTTCAAAGGGGGAATTTGTATGACCCTTTCTTTGTAGAAAATATTTATCTAGAATTTAGACTAGGCTTCATGCTCTGAAGTTGCTAATTTTAAATAAGTGTTGTTTAGGAATTTTGAAGGCTGTCTTGCCAACTGCTTTGTTTTATTGATGGATTATTCGAGTAGTAGTGCTCCAGCTGGTTTCTGGTTTTTAGAAAGCAGCTTCTACCTTTATTTTAAGTTTTCAGCCATTGCACAGGGTTTTAAAAGTATGGAGCTTTGTTGTCTCTTTATTTGAACAATGCCAGAAGAATGCTTGAAACAAAACTGTGTTTTTTATTTGCGTGTAACTTGTGTTTGCATGTCACGTGCCTCAATGTCTTGTTCTTGGTGTCAGGATCTTACAGGTCATTAAGGATGGTTGTACTTGAGTTATTTACATTTTACTTTTGCTGTTTGGCCTGATGGCTGTTAACTGCCATTGATGCTATGGAACCACTTTATAGTGAAACCTCTGATGAACCCCTTCACTGTACCTGCTCTGCTCTCTCTGCTCAGTAGATCACCTACATGGTATCTGTAACAGAGGAGCTGTGACTTGGCACCTGCCACCTAACATTGCACTAGGAGCATTGAGAGAAATTTACTATTTAATTTGATTGTCAAATCAATTTGCCCCTCTCAAATTCACTATAAAGTGGATCTGCTGTGACTCTGAGCTTCAGAGAAGCCCATGCTGATGACATTGCATAGATTATTGCATCCTAATCTTGCATGTCTCTTCTCAAAGCTTTCTTTTATTTTTAATTTATATTTCCTTTCTTGCTGCAGTTTTTTTTTTCTTATTTTTATTGTAGGATCGGGATACTCACCCCTTGAAGATGATGAGGATGTTTATGCACGCAATAGATACAAAGGTGAATGCTTTGCTTATGTGCTAAAGAGGATCAACTGCTTGCTGACAGAAAGCTTCGTTCTTTTTTCTTTCCATGGATTATACAATCTTGGTGATCCAGCCCCATGTTTTTTCTCATGGATATTTAGATCAAGATTTAATTTCTGCTGTTTTTAACAATGGAAATTAGACCAAATATTGATCACAACTCTTTAATGCACCTGAGTAAGTAACTTTTACATTGCCTTTGCTCCTGGGAGATCAGGTTGTTGAATGATGAAAATCAGGAAGAGCTTCTCTTTCTTATTTCTCATACATGCTAACAAAACCATCAATGACTCAAAACCTGGGCTTACTGATGGTAATGTATAGAAGTACAGGCAAGAGAACGTGATTTTCATGACTTTTTTCTTTCCATAGAATTGCTTGCAGTTCAGGTTAACCTGCTACCTGAAGTACCAAGTGAAGTGTGTTTAATGCATGTGTGCATTCCAAAACCAAATTATGTAGCTGGATGAGTGAATGGGATGAGCATGTTTATAAAGCAAACTCAGGTTTTCTTCCCTATTCTGGAAGACTTTGCCATTCAGCAAGAGTGAGAAGTTTTTTGCCACTACCAGTAAATCTTTCATTTGATGTGTCCATTTTCTAAAAAGTGTGCTTTTGCCTTAATATCACTCTCCTCTGCCAAAATTCCTTAGAAGCATTAAAACATTAAAAAAAATATCATTTCATTTGTCACTTAAATGGTAACTGTGTTTCTTTTTAGTAAATTAATCTATGGATATACTACAGTTGTCATCATTTTGATTACTTAAAAATATTGGTTCTTGGTGTGTTGTACATTATTTATTCTCTGAAAAGAATCAGTGGGCCCCATAAGAGGTAAGTCATAAAATAATTCAGAAATGTACGAACAGCTAAGGGAAGACACAGCTTTTATGGCTACGTTGCTGTTTTCTTAAATGTCTCATCTTCATCCCAGTAAAATACTCAAGAATAAAATTTTGCCTTCAAACGTGCACAAATAATTCTCTAAAGCTTTATTTACGTTAAATAATTTTTGTTTGCCTTCTAACATGTGATCCGCTGCAGACATATAGAAAAAAACTGAGAGATCATCAAGATAAATCAATGCCAATTCATGCCAGGGCAGGCAAGTAGTTAAAATGTGGATTCTTTGTAAATTTGTTTTGTATGGTGATCCAAAGTAGATTATACTCATGTCAGCCAAAATGTCACCAGGGTAAGTGAAACATAATGACTCGTTCACACAGATATTAAGAACTGCCCCAAGTTTATAAGCACTACTGCCAAATGTTGAGGAACAAACAATGTGAATCTAAGAGTATAAAGCATTGGGACAGAAAAGGCTGATTCTTCATTAGTATACTTCTTTATGTTGGTTTTGGGGGGAAGGGGATGGAAAAAGACAAAGCAAGGGAAAACAGGCTGTGTAGCAGTCTTCAGAGCTTCTCCTCAGATGGGCAGTCCAGCGTTTTGGGTGTGGCCCATTTCTCAGCAAATAAAATTTACCAATAACAGAAATGAAATGGATTTTTGTAATTGATGTTCACATATGTAAGGAGCATTGGATTTTTTCTTTCTACACATGTGCAAGCAAGCGCACAGATTCATCCTCTTTGACATCTGCAAATAAAAGATTGTAGTTTACTGGGAGGGGTGAAAATCGACCTCCTACTAAACCCTTTTGTCTTCATCTGGATGTTTTCCCACTTGCTCAGCTTTCCAGAGAAACATGGCCAAGATTTTCTGTGCCTACAGCATTTTTAAGGAGTTTTTCCCTTCCTCCCTGGTGAACCATCAGCTCTGTTGAATGGTGTAGCAGCAAGCAGCAGTACAGCTGGTCACTTTGTGTGCTGTGTGTGAAGGAAGGGCTCGAGGCAGGACCAAGGGGCTGGGGGAGATGATGCTGCAGAAATTTCCTTCCTGACACTTGGCATCTCTGATCATATTTCACGAGGAAAGGTTTCCTGAATACAACAGTTCCTGTGTTCATCACAGCTCTGGTGATCCTCATTCTTATTATTTTTTCCCAGATATTATAATGATCAAGCTGTACCCATAGCTCTAAAGGCAGCATTGGGGCTTCAACCATTTCTGTTTGCTGCTGTTTTCAGTGGTTTGAAAGAGGATTGAGTCTCTGGATTGTTTTACTACTAAGTGAAAATTCAGACTACTGTATTGCTAAGGGACTTTTTAGTTCTTTTTTGTGCTGAGGTACAAACTTTCTAATAAACAAAAGATCAGTATATAGGTTGTGGTACCTAAAAACTCAAATTAAAGTTGAGTGAACTGAGTCTGATGTAGATGATGCAGTTCCAGGAAAAGTGTCTGGGAAATCTATAGCTTTTATAATCCCCAAAACCTTCAGGAGCATGGCTGATCTTGCCTTGAGGCAGGGAACAGCTTGTGTAACCCCTTGGGGCCTTATACAAACCTAATATTCCACAAATGCTCTATGTATCTGCTTAGCCTTTGAAAAACAATATGTGCCTTCACTTAAAAATAAGCAAACTTTGATCTAAAACTTTGTTGTATTGTTTGATGTGCTCTTCAAATTAGCTGGGTTTTTTTTCCAGCAGTATTTCTTGGTCTAACCCTCAATATTTGTAAATGGCTTGTAAACCCCACCTCACCCATTTTCTTCTAATCACAATCAGTTCTAGAGTAAGCATTGTAATGTTTTAAATCAAACAGATGTTCCTCCTAAGTTCTTCAAGTTGTCTGCATCCAAAAGCATGTTTGCTTTTGTTTTTCTTTCTGGCAGAATCATTTGGTCCAGTGTAAGATGCATTTTGCCCCTGTCTAGGAGCTTGTTTTGTTTCTCTTTGGAAACCACTGTAGCTGCAATGATACTACAGGAAAGGTTTTTACTTTTTCAGTGTTGTGTTTGTGCATTAAACTGTATTTTTGAGCTATTAGTTACCTTTTTAAATATATATATATATGGGTGGCTATTTACTCAAGTCAGGTGTGTTTGTAAAACCACAAAAACTTGCAGAAAAACTCAGGCAATTTTCAATACCTGAAGCAGCTTCTTTACCTTTTTTTAAATTTTTATTAGCCTCTTCATCATGTTGCAGAGCATATTTGTCTTAATAACCTTTAGAAAGGAAGTCAGCAATGTGTATTTGGAGTTTATACATGTGGAGAACCCAAGGCTGGTTTGCTGAAGGATTATATAACTGGGGTGAGAGCTCAGCTCAAATGAGTTTTCATCCACCCAGTCCTGCCCTTGCAGACAGTTTTGTCTCAGTAACTTCAGGTTTAAGCTCTTCTGCAGAAAAACTGAAGCCTAATTCTTAGTTAAGGAGATTGTACAAGCTTGGGTATCTAAATAAAAGGAAGTTAAGGTCTCAGGGCATGGGAAGAACAAGTGGGACAGAAAAGCTGGAGAGTTTGGGCATGAGACCCCTGAAGCAGAGATTATGGGAAAGCTCAGGAGTAGGAGGATTTCTCCAGGAGGAGAATGAGACAGAGGCTGTGAATCCAAGATGTTTGGCTTTCCCCAGAGAGTGGTGAGAGGTGGTGCCTGAGACTGCCCCAGCAGCCCTGGGGTAGCAGTTCAGGAGGCAGAGATGGATGTTGGCATCACTCATTTCTTTCAGCAGTTGACTTTTGTTCCCATTAGCTCACACTCCTCATCTGTTGTCTCAGTTTTAATTTGGTGCACAGCAAGCATGAAAAATGGGAGCCACTGTGATACAACCCCTCAACAAAATGGCCCAAGGCAGTGGATGTGGGGATTTTTTAAATGTGTTGTGGGAGCTGTGGTATAGAGATTAGGGTGAAGGACAGGAAATAGTTCTAAAAAAAACATCAAACCCCCAAACCAAAACCCACTCTCCACCAAATCATTTTACATAATTGTAAGGTAAATAGCAGAGGATGTATCTGACATTCAGAAAACAGGCTTATAGGTGGGAAGAAACAGAGCTGGAATGATTGTGTGGCTGAGCAAAAAGCTGAACTATACCTTAAAAAACTGAACTTTACCCTTAACCTGAGGGGTGCTGTTAGACTGGCCTGCTTGTGTCCTGTGCCTCAGTTGCTGACACTGGGAATTACTTCACCTACACATCTTTGTAAAGGGTTTTTACTTGTATTGGTGAAAGACAAAAATAAGCATATCACAGTATAACTGCTTCAGAAATTTAACTAGTCTAGAGGAAATGCACCCTTGGTCTAGGCAAGGGATTGATAGTTTGTCTCTGATTTTAGTCTGCAGATATTATTTGTGTTTATTCAAGACCAGCCCTGAAAAATACAGATGTAAAGTGTAGTTTCCATTGGGAAAGTGTACATATGTCCTAGAGACATAGCACACTGAATATAAGTATTCCATGTATGAGAAATGCTGTAATGATTTTTGTTTGTTTATGTATGGAGCTGATCCAACTAGTATAGGAAAATGCACTTAAATAACTATGGGAATTGAGCTAGCAGTGAACATCTGGCAAACATGATCTAGAATTTTTTTTTAATGTTGTTGGTGACTTTGTATGTATGAAGGCAAAAAATCCTGTGCTTTGTTTGTTTAGGTTTTTTTTTTCATCCTTCTTGCAAAATTCAAATGTTTTTTCATGCCCCTCCCTCATGTCACACATTGTCACGCAGGATTTCAGGATTTGTCATCTTTCCTTTTTGCTTTGCAATCCCTCCCTCCCTCTCTTCTCCCAGAACGTGCTTTTCAAATTTTGGATCTGAGAAAGGGGCAGGCTTAGTCGTTGCTGGTGTAAGAAACTCCTACTGAAGGGTTGCCCATTTTCTTGGTGCACCCTTGTCAAAGCTAAAGAGAGGATGTGAAACTTTGGCTGGGAAGGGAGGTACTCTTCTACAAGATAACTGGGTACTCTTCTCATCAGCACTACTGTGTGGTGGTAAATCCTCACAAGGTGGGGGTACCCGTGTCCTGAATATTTTACAGCACTGCCCTGGCCAGTTAATAAAGGTTCAGTTCAAGCAGATTCAATGTGACTATTGGGAATATGATTTATGTAAGTGATGTCTTCTAACTGTGGGAGACCTTGAGCCATCACTGAGTTTTGCAAGGCACAGATTATTATGGAAGCAGAACTTTTTTTTTTTTTTAATGAGCACTAAGCTAAATGTGGAAAGCTGACAAATGCAGCTAGACCAAGACGTTCCTAGTGCAAACTTCTCTTACCAAAGAGCAGTTAGATGTGTCTGCTTAAAAACAAGAGGGGAAAACGGCCCAGTTGTCATCAAACTGCCCACATGGTGGCACACTAATTCCACGGACAAAAAGAATACTAAAACCCCCTCTGCCCTCACAACCCCTCCAATAAAATGGCTACAATCTTTAATGTTTGTCATAAAAAAGAACATGTACACCTCTGCAGTGTTCTCCAGTTTAAACATTGGTGTTTTTTTAAATAAGAGAGTTTTTTACTTCTCTGTGACCTTGATTAAGCAAAGTGATTTTATATTTGTGTCTGAACTTTTACATTTTTCTAATTGCTACATGTGGGACTTTTTTCTTCTGTGTGTCAGAAACACCGTGGTGCTCCCCCATTAAAGTGAAACATGGTTATGCAAACTGCAGGACACCTCAAGGGGAATATTACAAGAATGTGTTGGGCACAAGATGTGATATTCGCTGTCAGAAAGGCTACGAGCTGCATGGCCCTCACCAGCTGATCTGTCAGTCAAGCAAACGCTGGTCTGGGAAGGTGCTGTGCAAACGTAAGTGGGTACAAAATCTCTTCCTGTGTGACTTGTGCTCCAGGTTCAGACAATAAATTCTTATTTGCCATTGAAACTGGTCTTTGGATTGTTTAGGGTTTTTTTTTTTATTTTATTTTAAAGTTTGGCAGTATGCTTGGATAGGTAGATTAGTTTGTTGTTGAGGATCTCACAGGGGTGCATGACATGATAAGCATTTCAGTGGTACAAACATTCTTGGCAGATAGGGAATATTTTTTCAATGTGAGATTTTGATTTGTGGGAATATGACAGAGCCATAAAGCTGTTTTAAAATATTGCCCATCTTTGACTTTCTAAGTTGACACAATTTGTATCAGGTGTCTAAATGGGCTCTTAACAGTAAAACATTTTCTGAGAAGAGATGAATATGTACTTGTCATCCCTTTTCTCATTAAATAAGAAACTCTTATATAGAGTTAAATTTGAAATGCAGCTAATAAGAACAGTGTGGAAAAACCTCACGTGGAACAAGACTTTCTCCCACTTGTTGTTTGCCAGCCGTGTCTTTATTTCTGTGTCATACCCCACATGTGCATTACTGTAAAGGGAGGGTAACAGATTTCCAGAAGTCTCTTGTTTCCTTTTCCAGAAAAGCGTTGCCCTACCCTGTCCATGCCGACCAACGGGGGCTTCAAGTGCTTGGATGGTGCCTACTTTGGCTCGAGGTGTGAGTACTACTGCTCCCCGGGCTACCAGCTGAAGGGGGAGCGCGTTGTCACCTGCCTGGACAGCAAAGCCTGGAGCGGCCGGCCGGCCGCCTGCCTCGGTACGTGCCGTGCTGGCCTCTTTGGTCTCATCCCGGGGCACCTGCCACTGCCCGGTTCTGCACACATCAACTCCAAAAGGCCCTTTTGATCCAGTTCATGGGGGGAAAAACTACTGTCCCTCTTATTAAGCAGAGAACAGTTTTCCAAAGGTGCAAGGTTCTGTCGCTCAGTCCTTTCAGTCCAAAGCGAGTATCCAAGCATTGCTGCTTTAATAGAAATGAGTCTGGTGTAAATGGCCAGTGCTTTACAATGCTTGTAATAATAGCCTTTGGTGATTCCTGAGTGACTCATTGGTCACTGTGGTTACTGTGCTGCTCTTCCAGCATGTTCTCTGTGCTGGAGTCTGTCACACTCTCTTCTGCTTAATGATTAAAAACAGGTTTTTAATCAAACAAGTAAACCCATTGTCTGAACTGTTTTTCTTCCTTGGGATCACAGTCTTCAAATATATCCAGAGAATGTGCATGGATTGTAGTTACCAGCATGGTTGCAGTGAGCTAATTTAATTTTCAGCCTAGCTCACTCCAATTATGCCAGCAATTTTCATCACATAGTCAGTGGTCTCCTGGGAACCTCAGCTGGAAGAAGTATTTCTACATACATAAATCACAAGAGAGATAAACAAATACTGAGATTTAACTTTCCTGACTACTAATGAAATTTCAGCACATAGTGAAGTCTCAGCCTGCCGCCCCTGTTTCTGGGAAGCCTCTGATAAAAGCTTCAGCAGCCACCCACAAAGGAAAAATATTTTTTGGCCATCTGAAATGGCTACCAGTAATTTAAAGCATGTGGGTGGTACAGTGTTTGTGCTTAGTGTCTTGTGTGTATGATTACTTGGTTTTCCTCAGAATGCCTGTGGCTCAGTCTAGGTTGGCAAATGGCTTTGGAGCCTCTCCACTGTGACCTGATGTTCATAAAATATTTTTTCAGGTTTCCTGTTGTCTGGTGTTTTACAAATGTAGAAATGAGCTACTTGGGTAGACCATTTGTGGTGTCTCTTGCTTTTGTTTGCAAAAACAAGCTTTGTCCTTCTCAGTGGTGTGGGCAGAGGAAGAAAAACAAACCTTTTAAGTTTGGAAATGATAGAATATTGTCCTCTGTATTTCCTGGCAGTTTCAGAAACTCATCTATTAGCAGAGATGGTGTGCTTATTACAAAGGATGCTGTCTTGCAGAGTAAAGTAAGCAAGTACCTTAAGCAGCAAAGAAAAAGGCTAAGTTAGCACTAACACTTCTTTTTTATTCCAAAAATGAAGAGTAGTTGTTGCACAGGGTTTTAAGTCCCAGTTGTTAACTAGGATTACAAGTCCCAAGTAACCCAGTAAAAGTAATGCTAAGATTTAAGTTGTGGTAATACTGCATAGTTTGGAGAAGGTCCCTTCAAATCTTGTGTGCACAGCGTTCCTATATGCAAACAGTGAGATCTGCTGTTAGCAGACTGTTTAATAAGAATATATTTTGACCTCTTGACGGGCAGGATAGAGATTTTTTTTGTGACCAGACATCACAGACATAATTGTGGCCAGACATAATTCTAACAGTACAATGACATTTGCTATTGAACACTTGTTCCTTAGTGTAATGCAGAAGTTACAGAGCTGCAGCCTACACAGTGGCCAGGAGTGGAGTGGCTGAACAGCTCACTTGCAGCTGGGGAGTGAAATTGAGGAGAGCAATGAAATACAAAGGCAAAAAGGCTGCTTAATTTCTTAACTTTGATATACAGTTAGTTGTGCTGTGCACAGTGGGGATGCTAAATGTGATCAGAGGCATGGGCTGATAAATTTCATGTCATGGAAGTCTCCTGGGGATTCCACATCTTCTGCCATTGAGTATGGCTAAAATTACTTCAGACCTAAACTTAAAGTGCTCTTGAAAAAAGGGGCTTTTCTCTACCCTTTTATAGGGCAGTAACACTGTGTAGCATTTCTGCACTAAATTATATGGGCTTTGCAGTACAGCAGTAAAGATCCATTTAGGAAAGGCATAAGGCCTTTCAGTAGTCAAACATGTATTCATTAAAAGGGGGAAAAATATATATTTTCTAAATTAGATATGTTCTAGCAGTGACTTACAGAAGTCCTTATAGTTAGTGAGTATTTTGTCCTAACAAAGCAGACTGTCTCCTGCCCCCACCCTGTAAGAGGAAGGATATCTCTCATGTTGCTGAAATAATTTTGATTAAAATAAAAATCAATATACATCTGGTTTTGGTTATCAGTTAGCTAAAAATGCCAATACTCACTTGAATAATATTTCCATTATATCTTTAATGCACTGTAACAGGTATTGGAATAGTTACTTTCCTCTAAAAGATTGAAAAATGTCCCTGTCTTTTCTTCTGGAAAAATTGCCTTTCCCTGCAGATTGTCTAACAGAGGCTGTGGTAAATAGCTGTCACCAAGCTAAATCGTCCCTTTGTCACATCCTGAGGCTGTATTGATAGGATGCTTGTCCTAGTAGTGCTGGCTACTGATGTAAGACATTATTATAAGAGTTACTAGGAAAAAATCAAATGCTGCATTGATTCTTCACAAAATGGTAATTGTACGAATCTTCTGTTGTTTTTCATTTTGCCATTACTGCAGGAAAGAAAACCAGCATGTTAAGAGTAACCTGCAGAGTTACTGTGCAGAGACAGATTGATGTTCAGTGTACTTTAAAAATACTCTTAATCACATCAGCTACTGCACAGATAGACAAAAAAGGATGTAGATAAACAGAACATCCAGGCTCCTTGGGTGTTATCTTGGACATCCCTCCTTGGAGTTCAAAGCCATCCATTCATCTACATGACTTTTTAATTGAACTGTGTACAGAAATTTAAACTAACTACTTTTAGTTGGGTTTTCTTCATTGCAAAGGGCTGATCATTGTCAGCTCTTTTTATAAAAAAGTGAGAAGTAAAGGCTCCACCTGCCTTGGCTGGGATGAGTCCAGGCTGAGGAAGCAGCTGGAGGTGGTCCTGGGCTACTCTGAGAGCAGGGAGAAAATGCACAGCTCTGGCAGATGCTTCAGTGGCCTTTCCTGTGACATTCTGTTGCAGAGGATAGATGGATATGATTGTTCTCTTAGCTAGCCGAATGTTACTTCTGCCCCTGGATGAATCCTAGAGTGAATAATCTTCCCACAACATTCCTTTCAACAGACACTGAGCCTCCCAGGATCCAGTGCCCGAGCGTGAAGGAGAAAAGCGCGGAGCCCAACAAGCTGACGGCCCGAGTGTTCTGGGACACGCCGGAGGGGCGCGACACCGCGGACGGCATTCTGACCGAGTGGGTGAAAATCTACACCTGTGCTTTCCTCCTTACTCTTCTCTTAGCAATTCAGCAGGCCAGGTAGCCTTTTCCCTTCATTCTTCCAAGATGCTTTTTTATAGCTGTCACATATCACTGCTCTATTAAGAACTGCATGTTTGGAGGTGAGTTGTTCAGGAACTGGTTGCCCAGTTGTGGGTATTTAGAGCTGGTGGGATAAATAACAGCAGCATTTTTACTGCAGCTATGAAGTTTTGCAGAGCTTCTTTGTGGGTCTCATAATTTAAAAATTTTCTTACCCCAAGTACTACCTTTTGTACATAACAATGAAAACAGTAGTGCATTGGGGGAAACAGAAGAGGTAAGTTTGACTGTCTTAAAAAAAAACCAAGGTGTGTCACAAAATGGTGTCTGCAATCACCTTTAGGTTTCTTCCTAAGGTATGATGTTCCAGGATTCTGCAGTTACCTTTAAAGTAACAGTTCTTGTTTGTAACCTTGATTGATTTAAACATTGAATTTAGACATTACAGTTCAAATTTTCTTTGTCAGTTTCTATGGTTTCACAGTCCCATTTTCCAGAAGAGCAGGGTGTACTTCTGGTGGTACTGCTGTTTCTGACTTTCCCATTTTTATCATGGAGGATTTAGGTCAGTCTGTCTGGATTACTGTATTGGTGGGTGCATGGAAAATCTGTTTCTTTTAGTAAGCAAGTTACATCATTGCATTAGTGTACTGGTAAAGCTTAAAAGCTCAAAGTTCTTAAGCTTGAAGATGTTTACAGTTTCATGTGAATACAAAAAAACTAATGAAAGACAATGATACTGCCCTTTTATTGCTGTAATTTAATAATTTCATAAAGAAGAATTCATTACATAATTAAAAACTTAATTGCCATTGGGGTCTGATGTAACAATTTGGTTACAATTAACAACATCAAAAACAACACCTGGTAAAGTAAAAACTTGGAAATTGTCAGAATTAAGACATTCCTAAGTCTTTTTGATAAAAGAATGTCTGATAGGCATAAAAAAATGGGGAGTATCCCATGTAGACTTTATCATACAAGTAGCTGTTGTCAGCTCAAAAGAACCAAGCTCTTGGTGCAGTGGAAGTTTTTCCATAAATCACATCTCTATTTTTATAAAATATTGCTAAACTGTACTGTTTTATAGAGTATGTAGTGTTTTTCTTAAATGCACAGTCCTTCAGTTTCAGGAGTACAAAAGCTCTTCCATTACATGGAAGCTTCTTTGGTTACATGTTCTGTTTCAATACTGAGATTATGTTTTTCACATCTGAATTCTCCCACCCTGTTTGCAGGACAGGGCAAATTCCAGGTGTAAATGCTGCTGTTGATCCCCACACCTTTCTGCTGTGACACTGAAGCTCACTTTCTGTTCACTTCTGTACATATTAACAATCACAAATTACAATAGGAGCAGTTCAGAGCAGCCAGTTGAGAATACACCCCACTGTAAGAGGCAGGAAATTTTCTTTCTTAATGTTGACTTTTTCTTATGTGAGGAGAAGGAAACTTGAGCTCCTCTGGGCTGGGTTACACTATGGATTGTTTTATAGGAAGGGAGCAGACCCTGCCCACTCCAACCCCCTTGTCTCAGCAGGGTGTGCTGTAGGTAGCAAATTTAAATACTTTAGTTGCTGCTGCTCAGCTTCTTCCTTTGCTTACTTTCAAATCTTCTGTCCTGCAGGCAGCCAGACAATCATAGCATGCCACAAACCTCCCTCTTCAGACTTTTACAGCATTGTGAGTAAATAAATACTGGTGAATTTATTAATGTCTGTCCTGTTTTATCTCTTGCTTTAGTGTTATTTTGAAAGGCCTTCCACCAGGGTCACATTTTCCAGAAGGTGACCACAAAATCCAGTATACTGTGTACGACAGAGCTGAAAACAAAGGCACTTGTAAATTTCTTGTTAAAGTCAGAGGTAAGGATTATGTTTTACTCTGTAAATACAGATGCTGATTTGCACCTGGCTTAGTAGGCAATTTGAAAATGTCTTCATTTCTGTATTTATCTGCGTATGTCTGTGTACATACTCCTGTGATGATACTGAAAGGGAAGACAGAGTCTTGCTGAAGACCCTGTATTGCAGCAGTGTGACTTCTTTGGGGAATAATGTGTTCTGATTTCATGCTGTAGAAGGCTGAATAAATTCCCTTTATTAAGCTAAATTATATTACAATAATACTATACTATACTAGAACTGTATTATACCAAAAAGATATTAAAGAAAAACCCATGACTGTCTCCAGACAGTCACGACACAGCTTTGACTCAATTGGTCAATTAATCTAAACAACTATCACCGGTGTGTAATTAACAAATCAATCTTTGGTAAACAATCTTTATAGCACATTCTACACGTGCCAAACAACAGGAGTAGTGAATAGAGATAAGAATTGTTTCCTTCTTTCTCTGAGCTTTCGCATTGTGTCTCACAACTTCTTAGGAGAAAGCTTCGGAGAGAGAATTATGTCTCTCTCTGTTCAGAGAATGTGAATACCACAGCCCTGGGGCCAGGTTTGCAGCATTCTTGCACATCCAGGAAGAGCTGCTTTGACCAGCCCTGCCTCCAGCTCCACACCCCTTCCCTCCTGCCAGCTTCTCCGTGGTACATAGCCTGTGAGCTGCTGAAACGTGGAGGTGAAAGCATTTTTGTCAGCTGAGGCTCACATCTCCCAAGCAGGGCTGCCCTTTCACAGGTCCAGATGTTAACCTCTGGAGTTGAATATACAGAGGTGACC